GGGTGGTAAGGGAGGGGGTGGGGGCAGGGGGGAGAAATGACCCAAGCCTTGTATGCACATATGAATAATAAAACAATAAAAAAAAAGAAAAAAAAAAAAAAGAACCACCATAGTAGCAGTAAGAAAGGGGAGGACGTCCTGCCTGATCCACATTTTTGGCTAATTCAAGGAAAGCCCCTAAGAGAAGGTCGACTGGGACACCTTCCAAAAGAAGGGCAGCAGCTGCCTCTGGTTCTGGAACTTGGGGAGGTCACCACTGGGCCAGCCTCCACGTACCCTGGATGGAGGTGTCGTCTCTGACAACCTCCAGCAGAGACGCGTTCTGCAGGGCGGTGAGGAGCATGGCAGACGCCTCCCTAACATCCAGGTCTGCAGTTATCAGCAAGGTAAACTCCACCAGGACGCTGCCGTTGGTGATGCTGGTGACATTCACTCTGATCCCGCCCGCGTCCATGTGCTGACACAGCGTGGCTGGCAGGGAGCCCCGCACCTTTGAGAAACAGACCATGTAAGGAGAGCTGTCCACTGAGGACACCGGCCATTTGTCCTAAGGGCAGGTCCCCCCGCGATGGGCCCAGCAGGAGAGCTGACTCATGGCAAGAAGGTCAAAGCCACAGGCTGATTCTTGGCTTATTTCCTGTCTGTTGAGTCCCCAAGCCCAAAAGTGCCCCACAGACGCCTAGACGTGTCTGTGACACAGAGAGGAGCCCTGTCCCTATTGTCCCTATAATCAGCAGACAGCTGCAGAAGTGACTGCGGGTTGAGTGGGCAGAAGGGAGGGGCAAGACATGACCACTACCCCTCCCATGTCAGGCCATGGCATGCTCAGAGCTGTGGCGGCAGGGGCTGAGTGAGTGGTCATGGGGAGGAAGAGCAACTCCCCCTTCATTTTTTCCTAGAACAATCCTTTGCTCCTGGTACTGTGGAGCAGTAGCAATTCCTTCTATTCCTCCTCCCTGCCTGTGCCCAGGCCACTTCCACAAGAGCCTCTCCGACATCCCTGTGAGGACGGGCAGCTCCTGTCCTAACAGCTTGCTTTTACCACCTTTCCGTTTGGACAGAGTCACGGGTCACACCCTGCATTAATCCATCATGGTCAAAAACCCTCAAAAAGGCACCTGATCTCACTGTGAGCTTTAATATTTTGTACAGAGCAAACCTCCCATAGAGAAGACACCTCCGGGGACCGTCCCCACAGGGGAACCTGTGCGGTACAGCGGCTCAAGACCCAGGCCACTCAGGGTGAACAAATCTGAACACCCCAGCCCAGCCCCAGCTGCCTTTGGTTGGCTCGGTCAGAAAGCTGCTGTCATTATTGTCCTAGCAAGCTGCACTTCTCTCCCTTCCCCAGCTGCCACAGAGAGGTCTGTCACAGTCTTGGATTAATGTCACCATGGCTAAGTCTCCAGGGCCCTCGCTAGGAGATGATGGCCAGCCAGGTGCTGCATTCACCCACCACTTCCCAAAGGTTGCTTGAGCACCCTACATATGTATTAAGTTGCACAATTAACTGCTCTCCTGAGGTTCTAGATGATGAAAAAAAACAACCACAGGTGAAGAAGGAGATGGTTTAAAGAGGAAAGATTAATCTAGAAACCTGAGATGGGAGCCACTCTCTGACACCGGAGCCCTGTGGAGGGGTCCCTGTGTTTGTTGCTGTCACAACCGCTTCACCCAAGAGAGTGGTGATGCACGGTGTCATTGAAACCACCAAAGACTCGCTTTCAGTCTTTTTAAAATTTCATTATTAGCTCATATTAATTGTATAAAATAATTTCATACATGTATATTTTCTTCACAGTCACCCCTCTATTCCCATCTCCTTCCCCCTCCTCCTGTCCCCCTCCTCATGCCAAACGGTCCCCCTTCTATGTTCTTGTCTTTGTTTTAGATCTAGACTCCACATATGAGAGAGAACACCCGATAATTTGTCTTTTTGGGTCTGGCTTATTTCACTTAACATCATTATCTCCTGTTCTCTCCATTCTCCTGAAAATGATATATTTCATCCTTTTTTATAGCCAAGTAAAACTCCATTGTGTGTGTGTGTGTGTGTGTATAAATATATCACATTTTCTTTATCCATCCATCTGTCGATGGGCACCTAGGCTGATTCCGTAGCTGGGCTATTGGGAACAGCCCTGCTGTAAACAAGGCGAGCAGGTGTCTCTGCAATGTGTCAACTTACATCCCCTCAGGTACGCCCCCAGGAGTGACACAGCTGGATCATACAGCAGCTCTGACTTAGTGTTTTGAGGAACCTCCATACTTATTTCCACAGTGGATGCACTAATTTACATTCCCACACAGCATGGTTTTCTTCATGATTGTTGCTCTGACTGGGGTGCCATGAAACCTCAGTGTAGTTTTGACTTGCATTTCCCTAACTGCTAAAGAAAGTCCTTGGGCATTTTCTCAAGTATTATTGACCGTTTGTACTTCTGTTGAGAACTGCCTGTTCACTTCATTTGCCTGTTTATAGATTGAACTATATTTTGGTGCCTAATTTTTTGAGTGCTTTATATATTCTGGATATTAATCCCCCGTTGGGTGGGTAGCTGACAAAGGCTTCCTCCTGTTCTGTGTGCTGTCTGAGTGCACACGCTGGCAGGAGCTGGGATCCCAGAATGAATAAGGCAGGACCCAGAGCTGAGGTGCTCCTGTGGACAGCTCCTCTGGACAGCTGGATCCATTTCATCAGGGAGTAATGCCATGGGGTTGAATGGAACCCAGCCTTGCTGACCGCCATCGTTTTATCACACCTGACACTAGGTGGCGCTGTCAAGCCCTCTCCCCCTGGGTAGCAAAACTCAAACTGCCAGGATGAGGAAAAGCTAAATGGTGTCATTTCCACAGTGCAAACAAGATCAGTAGATTATGACACTCACACTGTCTACAAAAAAGTTATCTAATTTCACCAAGAATATTGAGATTGCTACCCTAATTTGTAACAGCATACTATCCCAAAGATAGCAGGGAAGAACCATTTTTGAGGCAAATGACTGCAACAGCATCACACAGCATTACGTTTGGAAGTAGCCCAAACGCCCATCAAGAAATAAATGGGGATATAACAGTGGTTTAGTGTTTGCCTTGCATGCATGAGGCCCTGAGTTCAATCCCCAGTACCACCAAAAAAAAAAAAAAGAAAGAAATGGACAAAATGTGGTCTATTTATGCAATGGAATATTACACACCCACAAAATGGAATGGAGCTCAGATACATACAACATGGAGTCGCCTCGAAAACATTACACTAAGTGAAAGAGGCACACCCGAGAACATCATGAGTGTATAATTCCATCTCTGCGAGTCTCCAGAAAGTAGATCAGTGGTGTCCAGAGCTGGGGGAAGGGACAAAGGTAGGGATGACTTTTAATGGGTGTAGGGTTTCCTTTTGAGATGAGAATGTTCTGGAATTATATGGTGGCAATGGTTGCACAATTCTACCAGATACCATATAACATTTTTATGGTGTCTGAAATAGGGCTCAATCTTTTGAAGTTTTTTTTGGTTTTGTTTGTTTGTTTGTTTGTTTGTTTCAGTACTGGGGCTTGAACTCAGGGCCTATGCCTTGAGCCACTCCACCAGCCTTTTTTTGTAAAGGTGTTTTTTTTTGAGGTAGGGTCTCTCAAACTGTTTGCCCAGGGCTGGCTTCAAACCACAATCCTCCTGATCTCTGCCTCCTGAGTAGCTAGGATTACAGGCGTGAGCTGCTGGTGCCCGGCTAAAGTTTTTTTTTTTTTCGCTTGTTTGTTTGTTTTAAGCAGGGGAAGGCTTTCTGCTTCACGGATTCCCACAGTGGACAGCAAAAAGTACGAGACGAGGTGTGCAGGTCTATCTCTCACCTCCAGTTGCGCCTGTGCCGTGGCAGGCTCAGGATGCCCCAGCCTGGCCAGAGCTTAGTACAGCTCCTTCAAAAACCAGGAGCCCATGGCACCCACAAGTCTAACTCTTCATCAGAAGCATCTAGAATTCCACCCACCCTCCATCCTCTACTCCCGATCGCCCAGCTCACCATCCCGACAAAGAGCTCCACGAAATCCCGGTACTCCTGGCTGCTGGCGTTGCGGAAGGACTCTGTGTACCTGACGTTTGCCACTCTGACTTTGCCACTGAGTTTCTGGGCCACTGCAGGGTGGAGAACATTCATGCTTAAAAAGCTATGTGTCAGGTCAGAAACTACCATTTCCATCCTCATGGTTATACTACCATGTTGGAAACATGGAGCACCACGCCACAGCTGACCTGTGCTCTAGAAAGAAGAAACAGCAACCACCACCCACAGGCAGCCCACCAGGCTCCAGAGGACACCAGAAAGGCCTGAGCCCAGGGCAAGAACCTTCTGGAGACTGTAGAACATACTGTACCCCAAAATTCTATCCCCCACCACACAGCTTGCCTCCCTTCAGGCCATTCCCTGTGCACAGGTGTTTAGGTGACAGACCAGCAAGCAGGAGCAGCTCTAATGGGGAACAGAGGCACCATAAAGTAATTAGGCCAGGGTCACGGTGAGCCAGCCGTACCTGGCAAACTAGAACCCAGGGCCACTGCTAGGGCCCTGCTCAGAGTACATGCCAGGATGGCTCTTCTGACACTGGCCACTGTCCTGTCTCTCGGGGGTCTAAGGCAGGCTTTGAGTCCATTCCCTGAGAGCTTAACCACAAAGACACCCCACTACACATTCCCAGATGGCCGCCAAAGCCCATGTCCTTAGGGTCATTGCTGTCACTGCATCTGTAGGTCAGAGTCATGACTAGTGGCACGTGCAACCTAAGCTAAAAGCCATCAGAAGAAGGATGCACAGGTGAGCGATGTAGACCTGTGCTCAGGCATAGGGTCACACGCTCACAAGCATCTCGTCCCTTCCACAGTGGGAAAGACCTTTAGCAGCCCGGCTTTGTTTTAGACTCAGAGGCCACCCTCCTGCCTGACGGGCCAGCTGACGCTAACTTCCTTCTTCTCCAGCTGGCCATGAATTGGGACAATTAACCTCATCACACACCATCTTGTGCTCAGATTGCTCAGTCCAACACTAATTAGCTCTTTAAAATACAAAAATGAGAGTTCTAAGTTCTTACTGCACCCCAACAGGTTGTCTGAGGCATCCCCCACAGACCGTGCCCCCAACCTTGGACAACAGTGTCAGTGTTTTGGCAGCCCCCCAAGACATGAGGACTCCCTGAAACATCAGACATGCAGGTCTGCATATTTAATGTGTTCTCCCTAGGCTCTGGTGGGCCACCTGCAGGTGGCTGACTGTCTGCTATCTTTCTGAAAGCCATGTCCACTGAATTTAAGGAGGGTGGATGGTGCGCTCTGTACACCACATCTCTCTCTGTTTACGGTCAGTCAACGCAACTCCTGTTCCCAAACAGAGCCACCTCGTGTCCTGCTGTCACGTTTGCTGAGTATGATGTGACCCAAGAAAGTAGAAAGCCAGCTGCCCAGCTGGTCCTAGCTATGTCCTACCTTAGCTGCCCAGAAACCTTTTCATCCTCTCATTTCTAAGAACAAATGATGACACGTGTTCCTGAAGCCACTCACCAGTCCTCACTTTCAGGTGTGCACTGACACCTTCTTTCCCACATGCTTTGACTATGATCTCGACCAGGTGTAGAACACCGGGCTCCAGCCCCGACAACGTCACACTTGTGTCCTGGGTCTCCACGACCACAGCGGGGCTCCCAGGAGAGACCAGAGTGAGATGGAAGGTGGGGCTCAGGGTGAGATTCACCATCCACTCCAGGTGGAAACCAGTGCTGGTCACATTGGAGACCGTGACCCTTCTGATGGGGCCAAGAACTGGGAAGTGAAACAGAAAGGGTGAAATTAAAATCAATCCAGCTGTTTTGAGGAAGAGGAAAAGAGAAGCCCACTACTGCCCAAATCAAATACACCACAGTGAAGGCAGGGGATGCCACAGGTGACACCAGCAAAGGAAAGTCCCGTGACATCCCCTAATGACTCCGTGAGTGGGGGCCTTGTAGGGTCTCCTAGCCTAGCTCCTGAGATGAAAGGGAACAGCACCTGGCTGTGTTTGGTTTCAGAGGGTGATTCAAACTCAGCCCACCCCAAATGAGCCTCCTCTGCAGACTCTGAGCAGCTCCTCAGGGAGGCCGCTAACCCTACGACAACCTGGGAGGCAGTGCTGGCTCAGAGCCACTCAGACAGGGAGGCCCAGCTTCTCATAACACAGTCCGGGGCCCCGTGGCAGTGGAGCTGGGTCCTGGACTGAAATGTGTGACAGGAAAGGCACTGAGAGAGCTCATACAACTGTTAGTTCAGACCAGGTGAAACCCAGGGACAGATCTGTCTGCAAGCCCACAAGGGGGATGCCAGGATGGCTTCTGCAGGCCTGGCCCCGTTTGCTGCGTAGGGTGGGCACTCACCTTTTGGGGTATCCCCAGGGCTCAGTGATGGCTAAACCCTCTGTGCACACCGGATCTGCTGGGGAGCAGTACAGCTGTGGGCAGCATGGCCATGGGGGGAGGGGCAAGCACCTGGGGTACAGACATCTGAGGTGCAGAACTGTGAGTGCAGAGGAGCTGGAGATCAACAGAGCTAGAGGGCATGAGAAAACTGGGGCACGGAGCTCTGGTGAGGAAACACTCTTGGGGACCCCGGTGCAGCTCTAAGACAGTCAAGGTCCCAACACTCAGGGAGTTGGCTCCAGTACCCGATGGGACACTTAACCCCAAAAGCTCCTCCCCCCAATCTGGCATCTCCCTCAGCTGCTGCAAACAGGGGTCCTTCAGAGGAAGGGAAGAGAGGGCTGGTGAAGAGAGGGCCATCTGTCTTCCCAACTAGACCAGATACCAGCGGCTGAGGGCCACACTGCCCCCTAGGTGCTCTGTACCTGCCCCTTGTGCTGCTCCACAGACAGGAGAGGTGAGAGAGGCCTCCAGCACAACAATTCTATGCCTGGGCCACCTGGGCTCACGCAGGCTACGAGGTTACCATTAGGATCCGTGCCCCCAGGATGACTCACCACAGTCAGGGGGCTTCAGGGACACAGGTGTGGGGATCAACGGCAGATCTGGGAAGGGGGAAGGTCCCAGGTCTTCATTCCTCAGCCTTGTGGAGTTCAGAGTTGTCTCCTGAGTGAGGATGCTGGTGTGCCACACAATATGGTCTGTGGGGCCCTGGGTAGGGATAGGCTGGGAGGGTGGCTCCATGGTGGAGTTTCCCAGTAACTGTCTAGGAGGGTCCAGAGGGCCATCTGTGTCCCCTTGAGAGGAGTCATGGGTTGTCCCAGGAGCTGTTGGGGAGGTGGTGCTGGTCACCCCGCTGGTGCTGCCATGGCCTGTCCCCAGGCTTGGGGCCACACTGGGCACCTCCCCCTCCATGCCTTGCCCTGTAGTGTTTCTTTCATGTCCATCCATGCCAACACTGCCTCTCCTGGATGGAGGCCCTGGAGTCTGGGCCTGACCTGTTACTGGGGTGCCTGGTGGGGACCTGGTAGGGTTGGGTGACAAGGTAGAAATCTCTGGGCCAAGTGTTGTTGTTTCCATGCTGAGAACTGGGACCGTGACCCTTGTTGCTGCAGACAGCCCACTTTTTGTGGGGCTCACCATGTCACCTGCAAGACACACACACACTGTCAGAGGTCAGAAATATTGGAGCACAGCCCACAGGACTCCTCCCACGAGCAAGTGCCCTCCATGGGGGAAAACACGGCCATGCAAAAGGATGCACAGCATCTCCAAGGCGACTGACCCCCTAAGGCTTCCGGAAAGCAAGGTGAACCTCTCCAGAGGAGAGGGGAAATTGACACCCCCCTTGAAACCACGTGGTGCTGCAGACAGGGAAGGCTTGGAGCCAGGGCCTCCACTCAAAGCCTCCACTGGGGCTTTGGGAGGTGGGACAAGGTCCCCACATTTGTCCTCAGCGTGGAACCTGGTGCTGACTGCTCTCATAGGCTTGCCGGACATTGTGTGGAAAAGGAAGAAGAGATGAGCCGTTGGGGTACCAGGAAGCAGGGTGAAACACTGAATGCTTTAGGAATAGTTTTCCTGCCCAAGGAACTGCTCCTTGCTGCTACACAGCTGGGGATGGCCAGGAGGTGGCTGAGTACCTCCTCTGCCTATGCCTATGTCCAGGGCAGACATGACCAGTCAACCACAGCTTCCAAAGTCTGCTGCTGGCTTCCTCCTGCATCTCAACTCAGCACTTGGTGACCCCAATCTACCAATCAGATCTGCCCCCCAAAAACACTTGGGGGCAGAAGCATGGCAGGACTGGGGCTCAGATGAGCCCCTCTGAGGGGCTTCCACAGCCTTCTAGGCTTGAGCCATCTGAGAGGAATTCCCCTTCATGACTTTTAGCTTCTATGGACCCCTGCACTCCCCCTTTAAAAAGATATTAAAATTATATTTTATGCAATTATGTTAAGGAAACTATCAGTAGAATCCTGGTGAAATTTATTGTTTTATATATACGTATCATTATACTAATTTCTTTCTTCTGATTTTAAAAGAAAATGTTAACATTTCCATTGGCTCTTGTGGGCTCTATACTTGGTGAGGTTGGATCTCCCCATCCCCAGTCCCAAATCAGAGTAGGGACAGATACCCTCACAGGTGCGGCCAGCCCGGGAAGGGTTGGCATCCCTGGCCGTGTGGCACCGGCAGGTGTAAGAGCCCTCCAGGTTGATGCAGCGGGCAGCTGGTGAGCAGTCGTGCTCTGAGCTGTGTGCACACTCATCCCAGTCTGCAGGGGAGAGAGGAGACAGCAGGTGAGAAAATAGCCCCAAATGGTCAGAAACCAGAACACTGGGCTGGTCTTCCTGCCATCCATGCAGTGAACCACCAGGCACAGATGGCCCTGTTGGGGATAAGCAGGGAGTATATCAAACAGCCATAGTGTCCAGCACCCGGGTGTGAGGTCCTGCACAAGCACCTCCCTCAAAATCTGACCATGAACGGAGGTGACAAGGTTGGTCAGCCTGTGCTGACCTCCACCATTTGCTTATTAGGCAAAGGTTGGGGACTCTTGGTGGCTTTGGGTGGTGTTCAGCCCACAGGTATGAATGTGTTTCTTTTATTTATTGTTCTTACCCAGAGCAGTGAGAGGCTTTCTTTTCCCTCTGACATGCCAACATCCCCTAATACAGAAAACTAACTGAGCCAGGAGGGTACAGCTAAGAACACCACAAACTTAGTGCCATTTGAGAGCAGTCAGGTGTATGGCCAGGGATAGGGACAGCCCATGAGCACCTCCTACCATGCCCCAAAGACCCCATGTGGTATCATGTCCCTGAGAAGCCCGACTCTTCTGACTTGGTCAGGGAAGAGTGTCAGGCAAGGCCCCCGGTCCTCACTCATCTGCCATCCCTGCTCCCCAACCTGAGCCCAGGCAAGCCCTACACTTTCTCATCTGCCATCAGCTAGGATGAGCATTGGACCAAACTTCAAAACAGAAAAATCCTCCAGGATTGCCCTTCCCTTCCCTTTTCCCTGCCTCCTCCTCTCAGCCCCTTCTGGTCTCCCTGGTGACTGCATACCATCCCTCCATCTGCTCCACTTAAGAATGATGGTCACATGTATTTTGACACATGACTACAGACCTCAAGCTGTATTTCCAGCCAGAAGGAGCTAGGAATAAGACTGCCTGTGTTGTGGGCAGTTTTCTCACAGCCTTATATAATCCCCCAGCCCAGACCCATCCCTGTGGTCACTGTCTGCCCCACCCCACAGGGAAGCCCTGGGCTCTGGGGCTGAGATGTCACCTAGGGTGGGGCCTGATGGCTGGGGAGGACTTAGAGCAAGGCTGCCTCTGCTAGAGGGGCACCTGGGCCAGGAACCAAGTGGCTCCAGGGGGGTGGTGGGAGGTGGGCTGAGTCAAGGCCAAGGAAGGTCAGGCTGACCCCAAGTCCTCCTATGCTTGCTTGTCTAGCTGCAGGTGAGGTACCCAGGTGTGCACTGACGCAGACCAATATGCCGAGCGCTCCAGCAGAGCTCGAATAATCCAAGGCCAGGGACGACTCAGTTTTTGGCAGCCCAGAGCTCTGGAGCCCACTCTGGCTTCCCAGGTCTATGTCATTCGGTCCTCACACAGTGTCTATGGAGGCCAGCAGGCTGGTCACCTGCTGCACCACTTACACACCATTTCAATGTGGCCCCGGGGTGGCTTTGCCATCATGATAGTACTGGTGCCGGGCTGCATTTCTTCCTGGCACTGCCCAACCTCCTCTTGCAGGCAGCTGTCCTGGGGCAGGCCAGGGTCAGAGAACAGGTGGGCTGGCAGCAGGCCACAAAGAGAGTGCAGGCTCCGTCACAGTGGCAGCTCAAGCCCCAAAACACCTGGCATCTATTCTGCGTGTGTTGTCATGCACCTGGAATCACTCCCTACAGCAGACAGTTCACAAGCAAGCTCACAGACACATATGAACAATTTTACTTCACCTTGCCCTAAAGCCAAGGTCCGCTGCCCCCCAGCTCAGAGGAAGAGGCAGGTGTGTGGGCAGTAAAGCTGCATCAAGGAAGGCTGGAACTGCAGCCGGTACCCCCTGAGCTCAAAGGGAGGGAGGTCACTCACTCTTGGACCCTGCAAGGGGATGCCCACCCACAAATAGAGCCCAAAACTGAGGCATGAGATCCTGTGTGTGCCCCACTGTGAGGAGGGGCTTTACCCCGCTGCAAGGCACTAAAACTGTCCTCAGAGAGGCATGCTGTCCCTGCCCTGTCCCTGTCTCTCTCTCTCTCTCTCCCCCACCCCCGTCACTGTGTCATCTCTGTTTCTCTGTATCTCTATCTCTGCCTTGTTGTTTCTATCTCTGTCTTTGTCTCTGTCATTGTCTCTCTTTATCTCTGTTTTTGTCTCTCTCTATGTCTCTGTCTCCATGAGATTATCTCTGTCTCTTTCTATCTCTCTCATCTCCTTCTAGGACTCTTTGTCTCTGTCTGTATCTGTCTTTCTCTGTCCCTGTCTCCCTGTCTCTGTCTTTGTCTCTATGTCTTTGTGTGTGTCTCTCTCTCTTTGTGATGCTTCTCTCTATACATCTGTCTCTTTCTCCACTTCTATGACCTCCTGCTTCAAGACAACACCAAAGGAAATGAAGTAATGTGTGAGATAATCCAATGGACGCACAGTGGCACCCGGTAACTCTGGGACCCTAAGCACAGGACTCAGGGAGCCTTTGTCACCTTCTCCCATCTCAACCCCTGTTTTTCTCAACGTTCTGTGCCTGCAACTGCCAAAAGCACCTGCTGTGGGAATCTGCTCCACCTGGAACAGCAAGTGGTGAACAATGGAGGTTGGGGCAGCTCTGGGCCCCGGGTCCCACTGATGAACACAGAGTAAGGGTTTGCGTTGCCTGTACTTCACTCATCTTTCAGATAAGGGAAAGATGGACTCATAAAGCCACCTAGACCACTTGTGAGCTGAGGGACATAGCGTGGTGCAGCCTGGACGGAGGACTCATACCTTGCACTAGCGTCCTCTGCTGGTCAATCTGGAAAACAGTGCTTGCAGACAGAATCTGGAGCATGGGGGACAGTGTGGAGACGCCTACTGGAAACTCAGGGTCTTGTACTGTGAGTCGGAGTCTCACCACCACGCTCCCCGCCTGGAGAGATGTGATCTGCATCCTCAGCTTCCCACGTCTGTACAGGTCAGAGATGGCTGGCGGGAAGGAGTGTGCCACCTAGCCAGGAAGAGGCCACAGTCACTCAGACCAGTGGCCAAGACACCCTTCCATTCATGGAGCCACTAGTGGGCTTTCTCCAGAACAGCCAGGCCGGGCCTGATCTGGTGGAGAAACCAGTGACTACTGTAATCACTGCCCCCACCAATCATCAAAATACAGTCCACCTGGACATGCTGAAAGTCAGTGAGAAGTTTGTATGTGTGGGCGAGGGACAGACAGACTGCTGAAATGATGGACATACTGACTGACAGAGAGGAAGCACCAAGGAAAGATCTCCATGGCTATTTGGATCTGTCCCTTCCTTACCCCCGCCCTCCTAACACTCATTCCCATGAGCCCAGGGAATTAACTTTGGAGAAGAGAGAGGTCTCTCAGAGCTCTGGCGAGCTGGTCCCCTGCAGGTGGATGCTAGGACAACACTCCTCCGAGGGTCTTGCATTTCACCCACGTCTTACAAGTCAAAGCCCTGACCACTTCTTTGTTCCAGATGGTCTTCTAAGGACGCTGTATAATGAACAGCCATAGAGATGGCCAGAGCGAAGGGCAGCTCTGGCTGCCGTCCACCAGAACAGACATAACACCTTTCCGGAACAAGCTTTGCCTGCAGTCTAGTGTAAAAGATTTGGGCTCCCTAAGCTTGGTGTTCTCAACCGTGACACAGCTTCATGTGCACCATCCACCTGTGCACGGGAGCGGAAGGAGGAGAACTGGCCCAACAGGCTGCCTGTGTGCTACGAGTAAGGGGTCCTCTGACCCAGGACTCTGGTGGCAGGTAAACCTGTTAGTATAAGAAGGTAATTCTCAGAGTTTTTACAGAACAGGGAAGCTCCCTTTTCCTCCACTCCAGCACCTGTGCATGGAAAGCATTGGACACTGGTTCGGTTCCCCAGGCTGGTGCTGATATCTTCTGCTAGCCATGGGAGGAATGAATGCCCAGACTGCTGGCAAATGCTTTTCTAGAGAAGCTTCACCAACACAGGAAGGCCGAGTACCCAGACAGAAGCTTCGACAGCAAATCCAGCTGCATGACCGAGTGGTGAGGACCATTTAAACAAAGGCCGTGTTTTAAAGAGGATTGACCCAATATCTAGATTAATTACCCCATGGAAGGGGGCTGAGTAATGACTGTGTGGTTTGGGTGTGGTCTCCCCCGGGTATAGTAACTTGTGACTGCTGTGACCACAGGGAAGAGCTAGGTTCAGTGTGCATATGCGTGTGTGCACTCAGAGGACCGACAAAACGTCCCCAGTCCACATCTTCTTTACCTCGAGCAGCAGCTGTTGGGAGAAGTCCTGGAATTCCACACTGCTGCAGTTGAGCAACTGCTCTGTCAGGTTGTGGTTTATGATCCTTATTGTGACTCCAAAAACCCGAGCATCTGAGACAGACAGTGACACAAACCAGCTGAAACCCAGAACTCAAAGTCACATGCTCCGCCATCAACATTTTCCACAAAGCCAGCTCTTTGATGAAGTTTAAAAAAAAAAATAGCTTGAGGCATAAATTTCAAACTGAACTGGACAAATTGAAAATCCGTGACAGAATCCACGCACAGCCAGACTACGACAGCCAGGACAGTGGAGTTGCAGGTGCAGTCACCGCACCAAGTCCACAGCAGCAGAAATGGCTCTTCAACTGGCACATGTAGGGTGCAGAGGCCTCTCCAGCTATTCTGTCCTGGGGGATTGCTGTCCCCTTGTCCTATTTACAATCATGGGTCTGGCCAGATCCTAATGCTGAGTCCCCACCCAGGCCCCCACTGTCAGGTGACTAACTTGTCCCGGTTTGCTGGAACCTCCCAGGTTTCAGCATGGAAAATCCTGCCTCTCTGTTCCTGGCAAATTGGTGGGGTTTGGTCCCCTACAAGGATGGTCGTCCCTTCTCTAGACACTGGGAAGAGACTCAATATGTCTCTTTCATTCTGAGAGCAAAAGTAACATGCCAGGTGAATGGCTGTGGGCAGGGAAATAGGCCCTGCTGCAGCTCTCTGCATTCTGATGGTTAGCAGCCCCCAGCCTGACTCCAGCCTGGCTCTGTACAGTCTGTCACTTATGTATGCCACACTCAATTCACATAAATGTCACCAAGAGGGGACCGAGCGTGGGTGGTGCATGCCTATAATCCTAGCTACTTGGTAGGCGCAGATAGGAGGACCACGGTCCAGACCAGCCCCAAGCAAAAACACAAGACCCTATTGGAAAACAAATAAAACAAAAAAGGACTGGGAGCAAGGCTCAAGTTGTAGAGCACATGCCTAGCAAGAGCAAATACTGAGTCAAACTCCAGTTTCACAAATAAAGAAAAAGAAAGAAAGAAATGTCACCAAGTGGTACAGTAGGCTCTTTATCCCAGAGGGAGACATTTCAAAATGCCCAGTGAACACCTGAAAATGCTGGCAGTACCAAACCCTATGGGTGCTATGGTTTTCCTATAATATAATAAAGTTTAAGTCACAAATCGGGCAGAGGAAGAGACAAATAATAACTAATAATAAAATAGAATACTTATAATGATACACCGCAATAAAAATGACTTAAAATTTATGAATTGTTCTAGAATTTTTCCATTCACTACTTTCAGACCATTGCTGACCACAGGCATCTGAAACCCCAGGTATGGGATCCCACTGTCTATTGTTTGTTTCCAGGCCAGGCCCCTTGTGTCCCCCTGCCTCAGCCCCTCCTGCCTGCTCATGGTCAGTATCACAAGATGCAATCACAGAACCATACGGTGTCCATCGTGCCCTGGGAGCCAGTTCTCCACCATGAGGCTCTGGGCATCAGCTGCTAAGGTGATGCCTGTGAGGTCAAGTTGGAAAAACCCTTTAAAGCAAACAGAGCAACCAAGAAGGGTTCTGCCCACAGAGGACATTTTTACAATACCATAAAGGAAAGAAAATGGAGGCTGGACAGTAGAATAGGCTGGCCATGCAGAAGCATTCTAGAATCATCCAAATTCTCTACCCCTGGAACAGGAATACAGGTATATTCCTGAGGGCGTTGGGTTGTGGGTGGGGTGGAGCTGCAAGTTCCTATTGTACGTCCAGATAGCAGAGCTTCTGCACTATGGAGGTGGCTACGAGTGGTGGTCCCACACGAGGTGGGAAGGAGTGTGGTGCCTTAATGGGGCAGGAGACAGTGACACAGGGTATTGGAAGAACTCAGGTCTGTCCCCAAACAGCATGATTTTCCAAAGGAAAACAGTGTCCCCACCCCTCTGTCCCTGGAGAGACAGGGGAGGTAGAGCCCTTGGAAGTCAGAAACCTTAGGACATCCAGGGCTTGCCTTTTGTGTCTGGGCCCATCCTGGGTACTGTGGTGACTTAGCATGGGACTTTCCTAAATCTGATCATCAAGGGTGTGGGGCTGAGTCATTGAAGACTCACTCCCTCGTTCATTGCCACCATGGTAATGGTCGTTGGTGTGGATCTCTGCATGAGACGGACCCCAAAAGCAGCCTTGTCTGTACTCTGCAGATTCCAGCATGATACCAAGCCTGACCCCCCAACCTGGGATGCCCATAAGCATGGGGATCCCAGGACCTGAATGTCTTGGAGCCCCCTTCCCCATCCCCTTCACACTACAGCCACAGAGGCCAGCTGGAGAAGAGCTCGCCTGGCTGAGTTCTGTATGCTGCCCCTGACCAGACAAGGAGAGAAGGAGTCAATAGGGCAGAGACGGGTGGGCCACTGCAGAGATGGGGTGGCCACACCAGCTGCTGTCCTTCCACAGGCAGGATGGGCACTGCATCAGTTGGACATGAGTCACGTGGGAAGCAGGGCACACTCCACAAAGCTTCTAAAGAGATCCTTGACCCTGGTGCCTGATGGGGGGATGTTATGTGGACAGACCCGGGGGTGAAAGTATGGCTAAAGGTCTGTGGCATACTGGTGGCCACTGTACCCTGTGTTACTGTTCTTCTTGCCTCCTTCTAACCGAGGGCTTCCTGTGTGCTTCAGACTATGGGAAGATGGGTCCCCACCAAGCCCAGGAGTCATCACCTCAGATGTCACAGTGAGCACTAGACAAGAGACCCAGGGAAGCGGGGAGCCCATGAGGGCCCTGGCCAATACCCTACCAAGCATAGGCAGCTCAGAGGGATGGAGAACGCTTGCAGTGGGGCAGTGACCTCTGCTGCCCTGAGTATGGGAAGAGCCAAGCACTGCACAGGGCCTGGAGCATTGGGATAGAAAGACCCACTCAAACTAGTGTGGATTTCATCCTCATGTCTTACCAGTCTTGACTGCCAGTGTGGCAGACATGTTGGCCCCGCAGCCCTGGTAGCTGGTCCTCACCCCATACAGCACTCCGGCCTCCAGCCCGGCCACTGCCAGGGTCAGGCCATTGGTCCAGGTGCTTCTGAGCAGCTCCTCGCCCCTGTACACCTGCACCTGGAAAGTGCGGTTCTGCGTGGAATTGAAACTCCAGGACACGTGGAAACTAGTGCTGCTGACGTTGAGGGCCAGGAAATCACAAATTGGAGGACAATCTGGGAAGCACAGAAGGAAAAGCACCGACCTCAGAGAGGGCAGAATCCCCGGCTCTGGATCTCCTTCAGTCTCACCTGCTTCTCGATCGGATGAACCAACGCAGGACAATACTCGCTTTTCTCCCAATTATGAATTAAACCCGTTTGTTCACAAAAGAGGGATCCACCCTGTCCTTCTGGAAAGATTTGAGTAATTTTGGAAGGTAGTTCAGGATTACATCAGGGGATGGGGTGTTTGAGATGACATAAGGAAAAAGGAAAAGGAAGCCTGTGGTTGAGATCCTAGTCCTCATCCAGGCTAGAGTTGTGGCCAACCCAAGCATACCCCCCATCCATGTCTCCAATAGTCCTGAGTCCTGTGGCTTTGATCGTGATCAGAACAGGGGTCCTCAAAATACTATTTGCATTCTGGTGCATTCTGGTGGCGTTTCTGGGTTGGTTTGCAAATTCTGCCTCAACACTCACTCACAGCCGAGCTGCACTGATCCTCCGCACACAGGGACCTCTGCTTCCTCTGATTCACCCTGCTGAATGTGGTCCTATCGGGAAGTGGACTCAGAGTCCTTCATGGCCCTTTTTCAGGTTTTCCTATGAAAATCCAAGCAAGCTTTAGGTTGCAAAACCCCCATTTCCCTACCAACATCTATTCTGGGGCTTGGCTAAAATCAAAGCTCTATTTTGGGTGAAGAAAATCTGGCTCTCCAGCAAGCATCTGGGAGTAGGAATTACATAACACGTAAGTGGCTCTCAGACAAGGCGCCAACATTCTTGCATCAGAATTCTAGTTCTATTAAAAAAAAAAAGCAATGAGGAACTTTCAAAAATCTTTTGCAGACATCATAGTAAAGAAAAAAATAATTTCAAACTGTGTGGTTTCCCAAAGCCCTTATGTAAGAACTCATAAGATATATACTTATACAAACCACTTTCCTTTTTGTCTTGGCTGCCAAGAGGCTCAGAATCAAGCTTAGTGCCCAATCATACTCTTGCAACATAGCCCTGTTGTCTCCTCCTTCCAATCAAAGATAAATCCAGTCCCCTGTTGCTTCCCCATGGAAAGCCCTCCCAGACCCACCTTGGGACAAAGAGTATAAGTCACTGGAAGCCCTCACCCCTTCCTGCCTTAGTGGGATAGGATCAGTGGCATCCATTCAGTAGTTCTGCTTCTCATAACCCCACTGCGGTGGAGAACGGAAGTATATCTTTTTAAGTCTCAGCTGTTTTCTGGATTGCCCATTATTTTCTGCAGATTGGTCATAGAACTAGACACGGACTCAGTTGTCCACTCTTGATGAGGTTTCTCTTTGCAGCAGGAAAAGCAGAGCATGCTCCAACAGAGGGGCAGCCTGGGGCTCAGGCCTGGGACTATGGGCTTCAACCCCAGAGTCACTCACTAAAACCCTGAAATCAAGACACCCCCACTCTGCCCTGCATTTTAACACCCACCCAGCTTTTTGGGCTGTGCCTCAAGAGCATATGTCTCACTCACAAAGGAAGGAAGAGCTATAATTGCTTCTTTAAAAAATCTGCTAGAAGTGCTGGCTGTTCTATTTGTGAAGTCAGGACACACCACACCAACATTTCTGTATGCACATCAATGGAGGATGATGTGACAGTGTGACACTGTAAACAGGAAAGTGGGGACAAAGAGCCCATCGGGAAGCCTGAATAGCAACTTGCATCCCCACCCGGGCTGTGGCTGCCAGTCAGAAAATGCAACAGCAGATGGCCAACCCATATTATGGGCCACTGACAAGTTCATTCCACCAAGAGTGGCTCTGACAGGTGGAATTGAAATAGAAAGGGCCTCCCTTTGAAAATGTCACAGAAGACAGATGTTAGGAAGAAGTCTAAGAGGGTGTCAGGCTTGCAATGTATGTCCTCTTTTGTGTCTTACGTCCACTCTAAAATGAGACGCCGATGGGTTCCTGGATCATGGGATGAGATCTACTGTTTCAAGTGCTGTAAGATCCAGGAGGCGTCTGCAGAAGCTGTCCTTACATTCTCTGCAGCTCAGCCCGAGCATTTGCAGGAAGAGAATCCCTTCCAGGTTCAGAATGCCACCCAGAAAGCATTGCTGCCTCTGAGGGTTTGTGTGGCTCCTTCTCCAACATATTGCCTTGAGGAACTTGTGCTTGACATTCAGCCAGCAGCAATTTCCTATGACTAGATGATCATTGAGCATCTACTGTGCATCCAGTGTTGCCACAGACACCCAGGAAGTAATGAACTAACACCTGCAGCAATGCCAGACAGACCAGTGGTAGGGACAGGGTGCCTTGGAGCTCTGTGTTCAGTACCTGCTATGAACCCCATGAAGTTCCCTCGACGACATGCATGTCACACTCCACCCAAGCTGTCAACAGCACAGTTACAGCTCTGATTGTCTGCGTGCCCTGTGTGACAGGCATGTTTTCCCAGTTAGACTTTTCCACAGTCCCAGGAGCGGGGTTCTTCTAGGATCCCTGAAGACAAAACTGAGGCCCAAAAAGGTATAGTAATGACTAATGACAAAGTTCACTTGCTTTACTTCTAAGCTATCCTACCATTGGTAGGAGGCTGAATAATGACCTTAAAAGATACCAGGTTTCAAAACCCTGGGGCTCTTATCAGGATCTTGATATGGGAAGGCTGTCCTGGATTGTCCAGGGTGGCCCCAAACACAATTACAAGTGTCCTTATAAGAGAGGATCAGAGAGAGACGTGACACACTGAGGAGGCCATGTGAACACGGAGCAGACAAAGACAAGCCAAAGAATGCTGGCACCCCCCTTCCCCCCAAGAAGATGAAAGAGGCAAGGAGGGAGTCCCCACAGAGTCCCGGGGGAGTATGGCCCTGTCAGAACCTTGATTTGGCACCGTGACACCTATTTTGGACTTTTGACCTCCAAAACTTCGAGAGGACACATTTCTGTTGCTTAAACATGCAGCGTGTGGCACTTGTTACAGCGCCACAGGACACTCAGACATCTCCCAAACTTCTCTTTAACCAGTGTTTGAGGATCCTTCCCATGGCTGGCCAGCACAGCTTGCAGGAGAGTTCTTTATTGTATTGCTGTGAACTTGACTGACTTCTAGCTTCCGGAGGCCAAACCCACTTCTGTAAGACACCCGGAGATATTTTAAAACTAGATCTACTCTTTCCACCCTCACCCAGTCTCTTCCAGGATAAGCTGCTGGAACTTGGTTTGGGGTCCCTCACTAGCCAGGACACCCACCCTCCTCTAGTTACTCTTTATCTTTTCTGTGTCTCTTTTAAAATGCAGCAACTAGAATTAACTCTCAGTTCTTGCCTTTATACAAAAGGGCAGCAGTGACATGACGTGAAATCCAGGCACAGAGCCTTGCTCCTTGGTGTCCCCTTCCTACAGTTGAGAACATCAGCTCAGGACTTGACAGTGAAGCACGTTGGCCTCTCTGGGTCTGTGGTCTGGGATCTTGTTTCTTCCAGGTGCCCCTGAACCATCTCCTGCTGAGTGAGAGAAGGTCACTGGGGACACCACCTTTCCTGTTATCTCTCTGTCACACTCTCTCCCTCTTTCCCCTCACGCCTGCCAGCTTGATACCCAAGCCCTGTGGAGGTAGAAAAATTGAGGCCAGGTTCAAGCCAAGATTTTGAGTAGTCAAATGAAACTCTGATGGGAGCTGAGAAGATTGCTCATGGAAACTTGGTCGTGCCAGCCCTGGCCACCTCTGCAGCTGGCACCCCAGCCCCATCAGGCCGTGAGTCCAGGAGACTTCTCCTGAGTGGAGAAGCTGGTAGGCTCCAGATGAGAGTGGAGACCTTGGCAGAGGGCTCCAGGCCTTCCTAAAAGCTGACCACGTTCCTGGAATGAGCCATGCAATATTTCTTATGGTTTGGGGTTTGTGCAGGAATCTAGCTGTCCTGTGTGTTATTAATTGGATGACTAATTTCATAAGAAAAGCATCTGAAATTTGTGCTGGGTTTTCCTAGGACTTGTACCTCTAAGCCATCCAGCACATTGCTCATTTATATTAGCTTCGAAATTTAAAACTCATGCCGTTTTCCTCAGCAATGTATCATTGGAATTCAACCTGCGTCTCTGATCTGGAAACACTGCATTCTGTTCTGCCCTGTTAGAAATGCAGCCAGGGCTGTGTGGCTTCCCTGTCTGTGTCAGCTGTCTGTCCATGGCATCTCATGGCTCATTGGGCAGGGGAGCCTGGCAAGTTTAGTTAGCACCATTGCTGACTATGACTATGGAAAAGCCTAGCTTTTCTGAGATTTCTGACCAAAGCAAAAACAACTGGGTTCCAACCTGTGTTCTCACTACTGCAGCCATTTCACCCAGGAGTCCACAGTCTGTGGTCTGCAGGAGTCCATGCAAAGCTTCATGGTATGCTCTTGTGTGGAGCAAAACCGTCAAGGTCATGAACTGTGTGGTAGAGGGGGGTTCGTTGCCAGAAATGGGCTGCTGGTCACCTTTTCTTCTTTTTAACACCTGTAATGGCCATCACTCAAGCTTCCTACCATTCATCGATCCATCAAACACAGTCGGGCTTTGCATAATGACCTTTCCTTCGATGACAGCCGTGCCACAAGCCTAGCTGTGCAGTAGGCTATGCCATCTAGGTTTGTATGGTACGTGCTATGATGGCCCCACAATGAGAAATTGACTAAAGACACATTTCTCAGAATGTGACACACAGCTGTATTTGTTGAGTGTCTACCATTTGCCCAATCCTAGGGACTCATTTGGCAGTGAACAGGAGACAAGGCCCCTCCCCCACAAAAAGCTTCATTCTGGTGGGATGTAGAACATTCCAGAGAAAGAGGACTGACCCTGGAATCTGCCATAGGTGGCTCTGGGAACCAGCCCACTGGCCAGCATTGGCCCACAGTCTTCACCCTCGCCCACAGGACAATAGGAGCAATCACAAAACAAGAACCTCAGATTCAGTTTCCAAGTGGGGCTCTGGAACTCATTGGCAAACCTCCATCCTTTGCATGAATAGAGGGAAGAAAGGACCTGGCTGTG